TTAATGATTTCAAGGAGTAGAGATCTTGATTAGGGACTTTTACACTGTGCTTAAGCTATGATTTAACATCAACTGTTACAACAAACAGAGAAATATCACATAAAGCTTCATCATCTCCAATGGATAGTTTAAATTCTGACCTTAGGAGAACTTAATTTTTAAGAAATTAATTGTTCTTGCCATCCATTGGGTTTTATGCATAGCCTTCTCACTTTTTCCAAAAGTTCACGCACTCATGAACAACAAGATTTGCACTCTCACTTACAATTAGCTTAATCTCTTGTATGCTGTAAAATAAAACAGCCAGAACTTGTCTATTTGACAGCAATTTGCTTCTGGTTGTTTAGTGTCTCATGTTCCCTATCAAAAAAACACTATCCTTAAAATTGTGTAATTTGTAGTGTAATGTTAGTGTAAAGGCACACAAATACATCTAACAGTCAAAAATCAAACACAGACTGACAGTGGTACACATATAATGACCAGATCAGACCTGAGCAAAGTATGGCATGTCCAATTTGTTTTTGATACATTGATGCTCAAGTCAGCAGAAGTTAATATTCATCGATTGCCAAGAAATTAAATATGGACATGTTTTTGAGTGTAAAGAAAAAATGGACAAGTGGGCATTCAAAAATTTTGAAGTTAGAAAATGAGGGGCACACTAATATATAACCAAACACACCAAAAATAAAGCAAAAAAAGCACTGAAAAAATACATGCAAATGCGAGAGATGACTTGAACACACAATGGATTGTGTTTATGCTTTGAGCATATTTTTTTCAATGTGCACAGTTTGAACATCAAAACAAATTTTTGTCAAATTTTGTATTTGAAGATAGAGTTGTTTAAAGTACAAAGTATCACTGTAATGTATTTCTGACATAGGACTACAACAAAAGTTATTTTTCTGACAAATCCTGTTTAGTTTTTAGAATTGAATAAAGTTCATTTATATGAATTGTGATCAGTAATGACAATATTTTAGTTTAATTATTTTAGAATAGATTTACATTAGAATAGATTTCCATTTTAATTATTAATTAAAAGTTACTAAAAACTTTTAATTAATAATTAAATTGTAACAACATTAATTTTGTTAATTTGCTAAGTACTGTTATAACTTGTAATCTTTCTAACATAAGATGGCTGATAGTGTAACTACCATTTATACAACCTATGCAATTGTATACTAGTCACAATAGCCAAAATTACAAAGACTACTTCAGGAGTTCAAGAAGACAGACTATGTTATTTGGCATTACTGTACTTTCTATTGAAAACTCAGAAAAGAAAAAACTGCACTTTTCCAAGGCAGTGGATATGTGCTGTAATTAAGATTTTAAAAAATTTTGGGCAATTAATGTTCATCATAAAGTAAATAGGTCTACAGTATACTAATGTATTTCACTATTTTAAAATAAATAAATTACTTATCACTTTATAATTTTATATATATATTAGGTTGTGTTGTGGAAAAAAATACGAAGTCCAATTGGGAAACTCATTTTGGAAATGCTGCCCACTCATGTAGTTATGCCTTTGAAGCTGGCAATTGTAAAAACAAACTATATCACTTTTATATCAAATGCAAGGGTAAATAACTGGTAAATGGTAATTAGTTAATTTTTTTATTGGTTTATTTCTCTTTTCTATAATTTCCTGCCCGTTAATTACAGTTTGATCTATCTGAGAATAGTGTTAAAATTACTTGTTGTTATATGTGATCAAAAGACCTATTTCTATTGTTTATATAAAATTTATATAAAGTGATAAAAATGGATTATAAATAAATATATAAAATAAAATAGTTTGATAAATGTACTCCTATCTTAGACAATTGCACTTATAAACTAAATATTTGGCTGGAGCCAGAAAATTCAATTCATCTGGCACAAAGCTGGAACTGGGAGCTCTGATCAAGACACCTACTCTAAAATCCTGGCTACAAGTACTTTTTGGAATTTGCTATCTTGTTAGATCTACTATGTAGTTCTAAAAAATTTGAATTTGAGTGCAGTTGTTAAAAAATGCACAATCTTCCAATAAAAAAACAGTTCTCATAGAGCTACATACATACAGACATAGAATATTATATTATTAGAAAATATTTTATGATGATTCAAAATTTAACAAATGGACTGTTAATGAAATTGAGACTAAATAAAAAAAAAATTGAAAGAATATGTTTGAAAAAAAAATGTTGCAATGAATAATTTGATTACTCTAGTCCCATGGTTCCCAATTAGTGGTACACGTACCCCTGGGAGTATGTGAAGTTGCATGAAGGGGTACGCGCGGAAATCTAAAATTGGTCGATTTAAAATTTAAATGCATGAGATAAAGCAATCAAAAAAATAATGGGTGGACCATCAAAAATTCAGCAATTTACAACATGATGTCGAATGCACAAATTCGTTTATTTATAACTAAAAATATTCTCGAAATTTCATCAAGAAAATGCATTTGTGATAATACCTAATTGAAATTCTTACGCAAGGAACAAAAATTGTACAATTATCATTATTTTCATGTCAGCTAAGCGGCAATAAAATATTTACTACCATTTTGCACAGCATACCTCTGCGAGAGCAGACTTTCGGCCATGACAAACATGAAAACTATCGTCACCGACTTCAACTCGAAGATGACTTGAGACTGAAGCTGACCAAAAAGCAACCAGATTTTACAAAGTTGTGCAAAGAAAATTGTGCACATTTGTCACAATAAAATTAAATAACCTTATGTAATTTTCTTTATTATTAGAATTGTATTTTAAAGGTAATAAATGTAAAAAAGCTTATTCTATTTATCACTAGCTGTCTATCCACAGCTTTGCCCCATTATATCAAATTATCTCATGGGAGTAAGATATTTTCTCGCAGTAAAATGTAGCCTATGTCCATCTCCAACATGTAAGCTATCTCTGTACCAAATTTTATTAAAACTTGTTTAGTGGTTTAGACGGGAAAAGGTAACAAACAGACAGACAGAATTACCTTCGAATTTATAATATTAGTATGGATTAATATGAATTTCTGCTATAAGGGGTACGCGAGTTTCAGCTCTTTCTTGAAGTGGTACGCAGGAAAAACCAATTGGGAATTACTGCTCTAGTCTAACTTGAAATGTGTCTGAATAGGATAAAAACAATTGTGGAGAGCTATTTTCATTCATCAATATTTGATGATCATATGACCAGAGTTATACAGGTGTCAGTTTCTATTTTGAGCAGCTCAAGTTTGATTTCAATGCAGAGTGTCAGGAATTTTTCATAATTAGTTTGACACTATGTCATTTATAACATCTTTATCATCATTTACAATATCTATGCATATTTGTATACTAAGAATAAAGTATTTAATTTTAGTACTTTTGGAAAAATTATTCTCATTGAATCTTTTTTGTTTATTTTGTCCACTGCATTATTCTGTATTTCAGGCATATAATGCTCCTCAGAAGGTATAAGATAGGTAGGTAGTTTATCTTTGCACAATTCCTTTAGGTTAAAAATATTGATTTCCTCACCATTTTCAGTAATTGGGCTGCAATTTGAAAAAATTGTAGACCTATAAATTCCTACTGTTGTCCATCTGTCTGCCCGCTCATTTGTCTTTCCTTAATCTCAAGAATGGAATTAGATGAAAGACAAGATCAGATATGGAAACCTTAGAGACAGGAGGTCCCAATTAATTACTGTATATAAGTACTTCTGATGCAAGCCATAAGTCATGTTATTTCAATTCAAACATTTTCCCCTGAAAGATGTTAGGTAGATGACCAGCATGACTCTATTGTTAAAGGAAATGTATGATGTACAGGGCCATTACTAATTTGAGGTGGAGAGCATATATTTTAAATTAAATTAAAAATTGCAGCCCATCATTGTAATAATGTTTAATTTTCAGTACATGTTGACTCACCCTTCACTACTCAGTTCTTTCATTCAGCTAAATGTCAGATTGATCACTGAGGCTTGATTCTAACTAAAGAAATGTTCAAAAATCTGAAGCTATTCACATAAGACTTTTGACAGGATTACTAAATTAAATCAACTATAAAATTTTGTTATTAAAAGTATAAAATAAAATATTTAACATTAAATCATACTAGATAAAATTGAAAAATTATCTAATAAGAATGGATAACAATCAATTACCAAAATTGGCCTTAAAATATAAACTTCTCAGAGATAAATATATGGAACATGTTAAAAGTAGGCTAAGTGATCAAAAACATCTTAAGCTTAAATAGAACAAATTATAAGACAAACCAAAATTGTTCATGATAATGACAATAATGATCTGATTAGAATGTTATAAAATTTCTGGTGTTTTGTAGTGGCAATCAGAAAGCAATTTATGATGATTTCTTCTATATAGAATGTAAAAAAAATCTATAAGTGGATTTAAAATCTGAAAGTTAATTTCCTAAAAAAAATAGACTTTATTAGAAATATAATTACAGTATTATTAATATTTTTTTAGTATTTTAAAGTTACCTAGTTACTGTAATATGGAATTTAAAATTACAATTTTATAATGCAATATTACTCTCATTTATCAAAACATTCAAATTTATACATATAAAAATTATGGTGTTTGGTAAAAAAAGCATTGAATGTTGACAATTGAGTACTGGTGGGGGGAAATCTGAAACACTGACTGTCAATTTAGTAGTATTTGCTCATACAAACCAAGGTTAAACTCTTGAATTTTCATCTTTACACTTCCATAAATTTACATGAAATTTATTAATCTTGTACAGTAAAATTACAATCTGGCATCCACTATACTCATTTACTGAAAATATGAATTTAACAATGTGATAAAATTTACACAAAATAAATTTTTGTTTTTGATTAAAATTTTTTACATTTCTAAATATGAATTTATATTTGAATAAAAAATAAATTAATTCCCCAATCAAACACTATTAAAAATTAATTTACATTTGAACATAAACCATTCATTTTTGAAAAATATTATTGATATAATTTTTAAAATTAAATTATCATCATTTATAATATCTATACATACTTGAAAACTAAAATTATAGTATTTAATTTAGTACTTTTGGAAAAATTATTCTTATTAAATCTTTTTTGTTTATTTTGCCCATTGCATTACGTTGTATTTCAGGCATACAACGCACCTCAGAAGGTATAAGATAGGAAGGTAGTTTATCTTTGCACCACTCCTTTAGGTCATAAATACTGATTTCCTCACCATTTTCAGTAACTAATACAGCTGCAACTTTCTCACCCCATGTTATATCTGGTAAACCTAAAACAGCACATTCTTTAATATTGGGATGAGTTAATAAATGGTTTTCTATATCCAAAGCACTAATTTTGTATCCTCCACTTTTAATAATGTCTACAGATGTACGTCCTAAAATCCTATATGCACCATCCTTGTAAACACTAGTATCACCTGAAAATTTTTAAAATATAATTTAATATTTTTATTATGTAGTAATATTTATTTATAATTAAGTTTATTTACAACTTACAATAAAGTATCAGTTTTAGTTTAATAAAAACAACACTAAAAAATTAAATGCTTTATGTTAAATATATATTAATTTTATATATGATTTAATATAGAGATTATTTTATGTAGTTTGATACTTTTACCATTTCAATTGTCTGGCTGACATAATTATATATAAAGCAAATTATTAATTAATGTAAATTATGTTAATTCAATTTTAGCCATAAAATTTTAGTACTGTTTTGTACTTGCTTATTATCAGTAACAATTATCAACTAAAGAACTATACCAGATGCAAAAGAAATATGAATATTGTTTCCATAAATTTGCTTGTGATTGAATAATAAAAATGTGTGTATTCTCTTATTCAAAAATTACACATATTCACATAGGAAATTTTATTTGTGTTAATATTGGTAAGAAGCCCTAATAACTCATAAAATCAAATCTATTGTTTATATTTTAAGATTTAAAAATGTTATAAAAAGAGTTAGATTAGATTAGGTTATTCTACATCCAGATATAGTAATTTTTCTTAAATACAGTATTAGAAAACTATACATCAATCTTATTGAAAAATAAAATGTTGGTCTATGTTGCATCATTTCTATAAAACAGTCTGGGGAGAGATATAATCCCAGTGCACTAAATAGTTATTGCATTTTTCTTTCTTTTGGACTTTGCTTAATAAAAATTCATCGTAATTTCTTAGTATATCTCTTACATAAAGAAGAGCTACATTGCTCCAATGCAATCATTCTATCATTAACCATGCTTAACAGATTTAAGTCATGATCAAAAACTTTATTTTCCAGCTTCATCAATCTACGAATTATAAAATTGTCAGATCTCTTTAAATGTTTCAAAATTGGAATTATTGGATTCTAATTTTGGAACATTAAAGAGATGTGAAGATGATCTTAGTAGTAGATCAAAAATGTTTGTCTGAAAATTAAGTATATTAAAATACTGATAATTTAAGATTTTTATGGTGCATAATTATCATTTATATCAATCCAGTCTGGTGTAGAAGTTGAACTTTATACGAAGACCTTTTGCTCCAACACATGTTTATGCAAAGTAAACTTATTTTTGTTGTTTGCAGTGCAAAAAGTGATATTGTGGTAAGTTTTGATACTAATCTTTTTAATGAAATGTCTGGCATGTTCTGAAATGTCATCATACCAGATTCTGTTGCATTTGAATTGCTAAATATCTCTCCAGACAACTTTGAGTAGAAGTACTTTAATTATAATCACCCAATATAATATATAAACTGAAATGCATTTTTTATTGAGACACATTTATACAAATTTAAATATAAAAATAATATTAATCAATAAACATTAATTCTTAAGTAAAACTTTTCAGCATATAGATTTGTTGTTAACATCTAATAAAATACAAGTGTTAAAATAATTTCCTAGTGGAAGAGTTTTTCTACTAATTAAACATAAGAAATTTTATCAGAATTGCAACAACTAGCAAAAAGAGACTTGTTTATTTCTAATGTAGCAGAAGCAAACATACTGTAATATTCTTTTGTATAACATTTAACTTTTGTGAATGATTTTTTGTTTTATTCAATGTAAATTAAATGTTTGTTTTGAAATAACAACTAGTGATGTAACGAATATTCGGTTACTATTCAGTATTCGGCCTATTTTTCACTATTCGGCCGAATACCGAATACCTAAAAACAGNGATGGATGAGTTTTAAGCGGCTATTAGACTTCACAATCCTGTGTAAAGCTACCTTACTGTCAGAATAAATGCGATAGTGTAAATAGTGTCTTTTGTCCTTCCTATGCCTAATGTGAATTAAGTTCCTATGAATACCTAAAGTTTCTGCCTGTGCTATTGAACAGTGTACCTAGATGGAAGCAAGTGTTATGAAGCTCGCGGTCTAAGTCGGAGTAAACTACAAAAGCGGCACCCACATCGCCACCCATCTTGGAACCGTCAGTGTAAATCCTAAACATGGAATGATCACCTAGATCTTTGAAGTAAACATCAGGGGCAATCTGATGGGAGGGGTGGTAATCGTAAGTCGGGAGGGTATTTTTTACAAACAGTAAAATAATACAAACAGCTGTACAAACAGTAAAATAATATTAATAATAATAAATTGTAATGTATATGGGGAAAATACTCCTAAACTTTGAACATGTCAAATATAGATTAAAAAGTTCCGTTTTGGAAATTTTAAAATAAAGGATACCAAACATATGGGGTGTCCAAAAGCTGTGGATGAATAAAGATAGCAGGAAGAAATTGTTGGCAATCAACTAACACACAATACAGTTTATATAATAGGATGCCCCTTATAAAAATTTTTTTGTCAAAATGCTTTCGCCCATCCCCTAAATTTTTTGCATATGGTATGAATTACTCAAATATGAAATTTCATCTCGATATGACCACATTAACTTGTGCTGACCTGAGCGCAAAACTTGAATAGACATGAATATTTTTTTCCCCGGTATGATTGACATGGGGTATATTAAGTAGAAGTATAAAATCAATAACTAAGAATTATAACATTTTATTAAGTTTCTGATATAGTAGTTCTCTGTAACATTCAATTACAATATTTGAAACTACTGTTTATACTTTCTCTTCTATTTTTTTCTTTTTTTTACAATCTGATTTATGGTCTTTGATAGTCTTGCACACAATGCAACATAAACTCTTTTTGTTAATAAACTGTAAAAGTCTTGCAATAACTTAACAGCTTTTTCAGCACTTATTTACAGCTCTTAACATTTTAACCGTCCTTTGGGCTGCTAAATACAAAGTGTTGTTTTTCCACATTGAAGGATATTATTGGAGAAACTATTCATTTGTAGCTGAGAAAAGAATCCTCTTCTTTGAATTGATACAAAACCATCAATTGTTTTCTCTAAAATGAGAAACTAATCAATGATACAAAATAAATAAAAGTATGCTACTACATTAAAAAGAAATTAAACTTACCAAATAATTTGCAATCCATTTCTTCTCTCAGTAGAATGAATGAATTTCCTCCCCATACATCAATATTCTCTACCCAAATTGACCAACATTTTGCTTTTGGTTTGATGGTCAACATTGTCATCAGAGAAAGAGAGAAGAGAACTGACATCTTTGATGTGATTGCTGATGTACATGGTACGAATGTAACTGAAAGTACTAGTGACTGAAGACTTTGCAAGACGGTCAGCGGTCTCATTTCCAAGAACCCCCGCATGATCCGGGAACCAATGGAAATCTATTTTAATGTTGTCTAAGAATGTGATGTATGAGATGGATGAGTTTTAAGCGGCTATTAGACTTTGGATAAATAGCACACTATGCTTTAAAGCTGCTGTAGAAACAGTTGTATCTATCACTTCATATGATTTTAATGATTTCAAGGAGTAGAGATCTTGATTAGGGACTTTTACACTGTGCTTAAGCTATGATTTAACATCAACTGTTACAACAAACAGAGAAATATCACATAAAGCTTCATCATCTCCAATGGATAGTTTAAATTCTGACCTTAGGAGAACTTAATTTTTAAGAAATTAATTGTTCTTGCCATCCATTGGGTTTTATGCATAGCCTTCTCACTTTTTCCAAAAGTTCACGCACTCATGAACAACAAGATTTGCACTCTCACTTACAATTAGCTTAATCTCTTGTATGCTGTAAAATAAAACAGCCAGAACTTGTCTATTTGACAGCAATTTGCTTCTGGTTGTTTAGTGTCTCATGTTCCCTATCAAAAAAACACTATCCTTAAAATTGTGTAATGTAAAATTGTGTAATTTGTAGTGTAATGTTAGTGTAAAGGCACACAAATACATCTAACAGTCAAAAATCAAACACAGACTGACAGTGGTACACATATAATGACCAGATCAGACCTGAGCAAAGTATGGCATGTCCAATTTGTTTTTGATACATTGATGCTCAAGTCAGCACAAGTTAATATTCATCGATTGCCAAGAAATTAAATATGGACATGTTTTTGAGTGTAAAGAAAAAATGGACAAGTGGGCATTCAAAAATTTTGAAGTTAGAAAATGAGGGGCACACTAATATATAACCAAACACACCAAAAATAAAGCAAAAAAAGCACTGAAAAAATACATGCAAATGCGAGAGATGACTTGAACACACAATGGATTGTGTTTATGCTTTGAGCATATTTTTTTCAATGTGCACAGTTTGAACATCAAAACAAATTTTTGTCAAATTTTGTATTTGAAGATAGAGTTGTTTAAAGTACAAAGTATCACTGTAATGTATTTCTGACATAGGACTACAACAAAAGTTATTTTTCTGACAAATCCTGTTTAGTTTTTAGAATTGAATAAAGTTCATTTATATGAATTGTGATCAGTAATGACAATATTTTAGTTTAATTATTTTAGAATAGATTTACATTAGAATAGATTTCCATTTTAATTATTAATTAAAAGTTACTAAAAACTTTTAATTAATAATTAAATTGTAACAACATTAATTTTGTTAATTTGCTAAGTACTGTTATAACTTGTAATCTTTCTAACATAAGATGGCTGATAGTGTAACTACCATTTATACAACCTATGCAATTGTATACTAGTCACAATAGCCAAAATTACAAAGACTACTTCAGGAGTTCAAGAAGACAGACTATGTTGGCATTACTGTACTTTCTATTGAAAACTCAGAAAAGAAAAAACTGCACTTTTCCAAGGCAGTGGATATGTGCTGTAATTAAGATTTTAAAAAATTTTGGGCAATTAATGTTCATCATAAAGTAAATAGGTCTACAGTATACTAATGTATTTCACTATTTTAAAATAAATAAATTACTTATCACTTTATAATTTTATATATATATTAGGTTGTGTTGTGGAAAAAAATACGAAGTCCAATTGGGAAACTCATTTTGGAAATGCTGCCCACTCATGTAGTTATGCCTTTGA